AGGAACACACGAATTCATTCGACCAATCAAAAGCGTGGAACTAGTTTGAGAGACGCGCCAAAACACAGCTCCAAATTATCACGCGTAGTATTATTATATATACACGACCAATCAAAAACGTGGAACTGCTTCGCGAGCCCTCCGCTAAGGAGGCGCACCGAAACCAGAGGATAATTGAGACCACCAAAAACAGGCTCATTGGCAATCTCCCTACTCATCTCTGCCCCCTATTTGAGTGTTCACCCGGTTTAAAATCGTGGATCTCCAGGAACACACGAATTCATTCGACCAATCAAAAGCGTGGAACTAGTTTGAGAGACGCGCCAAAACACAGCTCCAAATTATCACGCGTAGTATTATTATATATACACGACCAATCAAAAACGTGGAACTGCTTCGCGAGCCCTCCGCTAAGGAGGCGCACCGAAACCAGAGGATAATTGAGACCACCAAAAACAGGCTCATTGGCAATCTCCCTACTCATCTCTGCTCTTATTGGTTGAAATTATTCCTCATGAAGAATTCAGCCAATAATGATTTTAATATTTTAGTCATACGGCTGTACGCTTAACCTGGGAAGCATCTCTTATTTTTTAACAAATGAATAATTTTTAGTTATATTTATTTCAATCTTGACGATCGACATTTATTTAGTTTGATGTCTTACTTTGAAAAATCTCATTAACAAAATTATCGGCAAGCATTTCATAACGAAAAAAAACTCAAGGTAACATGAAAGGCTTCACAGCAATAGAATCAAATATTTCTTTTTCGGCAGAGTCGATAATAAAGTCTGTAAAAATTATTTACACAGAGCTTTTTCGAAAGACTGGCTTTTAGTCTACTAAGAAGTGGAAAAGGATAATGGCCGTCCACGGGGTTAACGACAAAAATCCTATGTCATGAAATCGTTTATGCAAGTGTGAATTTGTGCTTCCCTTCGTTTAACTTTCTTCGATAATTACGAGATCAAGAAAACAAAAATATTCAAACGACTACGCAGCTTCTAAATCAGGACTTATTCATCCTCCGTCCTTCTCACACTTACAGTTTCTTTTCTTTTCTGGCCAGATGATTTCACTACAGTCGTATAATCAGGTATATTTCTAATAACCGTCTTATATCAGTTACCTAGGTGTGATAATAGCTTTGGACCTAAGCTTTCTTGTTTCTTAATAAGTTAAAGTTTATGTTTTAATCAGAATGTCTAGATGAATGTTTTTTTTTTTTGAATTTGACAGTAAATAATCTTTTCATTTTTTCTGTTAATGTCGGTGGGTCACAAATAACATATTTCTTTTTATCATTGTCTATTTCATCATTTCAGCATCAATAGAAAACTTATATCAAATCTAATTTATTTCAGGTAATAGCTGTTTAGCTATAGTTATTGTTTACTATTATTTATTATATAAAATACTCCATTCATAATTACCCTTTGATCAAAGCATTAGTTATATTATTTGTGAATAGTAATTATATTTTTTTGAGACATAAAACATATATGTTGTATTGATAATTTTAGGTGTTATACCATCTTACACAGTTAACATCAACTGTAACACCAAGGCCATCCAGATTTGCAACAACGGTAAAGCATCATGATAAAATTAATAGGCATCCTGAAGTTTTGTGCCAAAATAGCTTAACAGAGGTAAGTTGCAGCCAATTTTATGCTATAATTTTCTTAATGACACAAGATGTTTTCATTCCAGGCTGCAAAAAATTGTACAGAACTATACATGGAAAGGTTAAATACGCAACATCTAGCTACTCCTTTAAGAATAAAGAGAAACGATGCATATGATATATTAAAACAATTATCTAAGGGTCTCAAGCCAACTGTTTCAAGAATTATAGACAAGAATTCTAAATGGAGAGTTTCTTACATATCTGGTGCAAGCTTTATTGATAACAAATATGGCTTTCCTCATGTTCAATTTCCAGAACCAACTCTTCTGCCCATGATGTGTTTATCATCTTGGCAGCCCTTCAGATTATTTAAAAATATGCACTCACCGTCGCAGTTTGCTTATGATATGCAAATAAGAAGCTTCAAGACAGATAGAAGTGCAAAGGTAGATCGTGAAAGGAATCCTACCCTGGGTGGCAGATTTCGAAAATGGATGGGAATGACATCATCAGGACATCAGGTTAATTTTTTTTTTAAACTAATGTAAATGAGAAAAGGGGTAAAGGAAGTAAGACTAATTAGCATATTTTTCTAATTAACTAGGAAGATAGAGGAATGATAACAGGTGCGTCTAGTGAACATGCTGTGGAGAAGCTACGAACTTTACTCAGTGATCATGAAATGAGTACAGATGAGCAGCAGCGTGTCAAAGTAGCGTTTGCAGAAGGATATATGGCAGGTCATGGGAAGAAGACTCCAGATCGTACACTTAAATGGCTTAAAGTTGTACAGCATGTAGTGATGATCGGCATTTTCTTAACGGTCTTCATCTCTTTCATGGGTGTGTATAAATGTTAGTACTGCTTCTTTAATTATTCACCTTATTGAAATACTCAGTGATGGGTATATACTACGTTCAGTGGTTAGGTATATACTACGTTCGTTTGTAGAATTTCCAAGGAATAAATTGTTAGAGTGGAAACAAATCCTTTTTCTTTACTATTATGGACTGTTATAGCTATCACTGAAAGCGTTCATAATTAATGATGAAGTGTATTCAACTGTGTTTTATTTAGCAAGTGCTAGTGGAAGCATGTTCAGAATCCAGATTGGGAATCAAGTTGAGGTAGATCCTGAGGAGATTCATGTTACATTTAATGATGTAAAAGGAGTTAGTATTTTTTTATATTTAAGCAATTTTTATTTTTATTTATAATACATTTTACCCAAGATAGTAATTTTCAATAACAGGTTGATGAAGCAAAACAAGAATTGAAAGATGTCGTTGAATTTCTTAAGAATCCAGATAAGTTTTCTGCTCTGGGTGGTAAGCTGCCAAAAGGTGTTTTATTGGTAGGTCCACCAGGGACTGGAAAGACTTTATTGGCACGTGCTGTAGCAGGAGAAGCAGGGGTTCCATTCTTCCACGCAGCTGGACCTGAATTCGATGAGATTCTTGTCGGACAAGGTGCCCGAAGAGTGCGTGATTTATTCAGTAAGTAATTTGACATTTATAATCATTGTCATGTAATTTTTTAACACGTTAAAGGCGGCGTCCCTGGGGACCGACAGTTTCAATGCATTTACTGTATTTAACGCCGCCTTAACGGAAAGTCAAACAAAATCGGCTCCGCGTTTAACGTGTTAATTAAACTACAAGTTTTAATTTTATAGAGGCAGCCAAAGAAAGAGCTCCCTGCGTAATTTTCATCGACGAGATTGATTCTGTCGGTGCGAAACGAACAAATTCTGTATTACATCCTTACGCGAATCAAACGATTAATCAATTGCTCTCGGAAATGGACGGGTAAGATAGTTAAGACAGCAATAATTTGAATTTAATATCTAAAAATCAAATATGTCGTAATTTTGAAAAATTATAGATTTCATCAGAATGAAGGTGTCATTGTTTTGGGTGCTACCAACAGAAGAGAGGATTTGGATAAAGCATTAATGCGGCCCGGTAGATTTGACGTTGAGATTTTCGTCAACGCGCCAGATTATCTGGGACGAAAGGAAATATTAGATTTGTACTTGAGTAGAATTTTAACACGAGACGTGGACGCGGAGTACCTGGCGAGATGCACCACAGGATTTACAGGAGCTGACATAGAAAACATGGTACACTTGAAATTTTCCTTCACAATCTAGAAATATGTACAATTTATATTACGCAAAAATCAATTGGCTCAGGTTAATCAAGCTGCTTTGAGAGCAGCTATCGACGGTGCAGATTATGTGACAATACAGCATTTAGAGCGAGCAAGAGATAAAGTGATCCTGGGGCCTGAAGGAAAATTGCGAATGCCAGATGATGAAGTTAATCGTATCACTGCATATCACGAAGGTGGACATGCTTTAGTTGCTTATTATACTAAGGATGCAGTTCCTTTACATAAAGTAACAATCGTACCACGCGGACCTTCCTTAGGGCATGTATGTAGGGAAACATGTTACATTTAACATACTCTTATTGTTATTGAATATATTAATGCTAAACATTTTGTTTTAATTCTATAGACATCTTATCTTCCGGAGAAGGATATTTACCACGTAACTAAAGCCCAGCTCCTAGCTAACATGGACACAATGATGGGCGGACGAGCTGCTGAAGAATTGATTTTTGGCCCAGAAAGAGTGACTACAGGCGCCTCAAAAGATTTAGAGGTTTGCTCTTAGAAAATTACTCAGCAAGACTATGAGAGCTTGTGAAATCCTTTTATATTTGCAACTAAGTAGCAAAGCACATGCAAAGCAAACTCACTAAAGTGGCGTATATTTTTTCTTTCACTGTTTTCATAAACATTTTTTTCAGGATGCCACTAAGATAGCTGAGGGGATGGTCAAGTCCTTTGGTATGTCTGAAAAAGTCGGTTTCAGGGCCCATTATAACAAAAATAGAGATTACAATGGTTCATCTGAGTATAGCCCAATGACTAATGAACTAATAGACAGTGAGGTGAAACGTCTGCTCCAGGTAAATGTTATAGATATCATTTTAGATTCTATATTGAATATTTCTATACTAATGAGTATCCTTGCTTTTTACATTTATTTAGGAATCGTATGAGCGTGCTAAAATGATCCTAAAGACCCACGCAAAAGAACACAAGCAACTTGCTGATGCATTGCTTAAGTACGAAACATTGGATGTGGAGGACGTAAAGGCCATTGCTAATGGCAAAAAGACGAAAACTGAAACAATCAACAGCAAGCGGCCGATATTGGACGTTCCGAAAATTGTAATGTAATAGAACATAATAAAACATACATTGTAAAGAGGTGCGAGGAGAAAGAAAGGATAAAGAGTACAGGAAGAATTTAAAAAATCGAAAGTAGACTAACGAAGTCCTACGTTTGACTACGTTCGAACTATCGTAGTATATAGGATGTGCCGTTAGAAGTCATGATGATTCCTCGTTCTAGCTTTTTGATGAAATAATATTCAGAGAGTCATAACAAAAGATCACCAAATTTCCTTATATTATTTCTTACAACCTGCTCTATCTTTGCAGATCAATCATAAACAAAATAAAATGCCATAATTATCTGTCAAATAATAGACATTCCACCAAGGCTACAAACCTGTATCAATTGCACCGACGCAAATATGGAAGTTCGAGGTATTTTGTGGATATGACAACGAAATGTCATATCAATGAAAATTTTTCTTTACGTTTTTCTATCAAATTTAGATATTCTACGTATTTCCTCTAAGGTTGAATTTCTGCAATTCAGCTCAATATGTGAACTTGGTTTACTTTCAAAATACAAATGTCTGAATGGCTAATGGGCAATTAAATCTAGTTTAAACAATACATTCTGTTTATGGAATTGGCCCCTAGGCTTAAACTTATTTTATCAATATAGAAAATTATATCAGAATAAAGAAGGCGATCATGCTAACTGGATAAAGTTAGCCATAAAACTATAATTTAGAAAATGTTTGATAGTCTAATTAAAACGCTTCATTACCTCAATTACTGTCAGCTGGATAAGGTTAGCTATATAACTATAATTTAAAAAATTATAAAAATCAATTATTTGGTGGTCGTTTGGTAATGATCGGTAGTCTAATTAAAACGTTTGGTGGTCAATTGTTTAATTACAATAATTAAAAAACCAAATAAGGCTCAAGCAGCCAAACCATTTTTTTTTCTAAATCGATGGAATCAGGGCTCAATCGACGCAGAAAAGTTTAGTGACCATGAATATCATAATCAAAACATTGAGCTAATAAACGTAAAAAAACTTAAGGCTGGCTGGTTTAGCTATATATATTGCGTGACGTCACAAGCGAGGAAACTTATTTTCCGTTATTCTCCTTCATTTTTGAATGATTTAGCAAAATCTTTGATGAGCCCGCTTCGTTATGCGATACGGCTGGCAGCTCTTCTCAATTTAGGTTCGAAAAATGTCTCAATTATGAGAAAAATGTACGTAAAGAAATCGTGCATTTCTGACCTGTCAAAACATCATGGGCGCCGCCATTACGATCGTTCACTAAATCCCATTTTTCTGCGAATGAGGACACTCATCACACTTAATTAAACTCGGAAAGCAATACCGAAGTGTCTATAAAGTGGTGAAAGTAGGAAAGACTGCCCAGTGCATAAGTCATAACTATAAAGGTGATTGGTGATAGCATCGGAGACGAATAGTGAGCAGATACAATTGGCGAGCAGGCGCAAGCAAGGAAGATAACGCGGGACGGTGAGTGGCGACCATCTTGCGAAGAGAGCAGTGCAGCGCAACTTGCGGCTCCCATAGCTGTGCAGTGATGCCCAACCAATTGTAATCCGGTCACAGTGAAGCAGTGGCTACGGAGGCGATTTCTTGAACGATATTTGATGGTGATTGGACGAAATTCTTTAAACCTACGTAGCAGCGGAGCGTACCGTATGACATCAGAATAGCGAGATAACTGCACTAAGATCACGACGATAAATGAAAACACCCTTGATATTATAATTACGGGTAGGAAGAAAGAGTTATGAATCCAGTCATATGTGGTAAATGTAAAGGGACTATCGGCAAAGTTATACATGAGTGTCAAAGATGCTTAAAAGGTTTCCACTTTAGCTGTGCGAATCTCCATACAGTTTATAACAGTAATAATGTCTTAGTAAAGTGTACGGGTATGATTGAGGAAAAAAGTAACAAGAAGTCTGTAGGATGCTCTTCAGCAAACTCTAGAATGGTTAATTGCACACAAGAGAGGTCTGCGGACAGAAATGATAAAGTGGAACGAGGTACAAAAAGAGCAAGACAAAATACGACGGAGGAAATAGGAATAGAGATAGAGTTAACGGTGGAAGAGAAGCTTGATCATGTATTGGCAGGATTGAAACAAATAATGACAAAAGATGGAGAGAGAGAGAAAGTAATAAGTGAAATAATAGAAAAACAAATGAAACAAATAAGTCAAGAAATTAAAAATATAGTAATAGATGAAATAAAAAAAACGGTGCAAAGTTTGATGAAGGAAGTGGGAAATCTCAAATCTAGTGTAGCAATATTACAAAAAGATGACAAAAGCACGCAAGAACACAGCAGAAACAGTTACGCGGATAAAGTAAACAGTAGTGGGAAGAATAGTGGAAGAGGAACGAAATAGTAAATGCAATACGGGAAAATAAGAAGCGTTACTACGAGACAAATATTGATAATCAAAGACATAACTCTAAAAAAATGTGGAAAACTTTAAAACAATTGATTGGAGATAAGAAAAGTTATTATACTGTATTAAGAGGAATAGAATTTAATGGAGTATTACAATTGGATCCTAATGTAATAGTAAGGAAGTTTAATAGATTCTTTATAGAGAGTGTGGAAGAAATAGTAAATGAAATTAATGCGGAGGGAGAAGGTAATAAAGATAGGATTAACACATATGGAACAAACGAACGAAATATTAAACTTGATAAATTCAAGGAGACAACAACTGAGAAATTGGGTAAAATTATTAAGAATTTAGATAATAAGAAAGGGTCAAAAAAGGGTATACCGGCAGAGATTATCAAAAAGGTTTGGGTAGGTAATAATCAGATATTGCTTGAAATAATGAATCGGTCAATTCAAGAAGGGGAGGTCCCAGAGAAGTGGAAGACGTCAATAGTTACACCAATACCTAAAGTTAATGGAACCAAAAAGGCTGATGAATATAGACCCATTAATACCCTTCCGATATATGAAATAATACTGGAAGAACTTATAAAGGATCAATTACTTACATACTTGGATGATAATAACGTCTTAAGAAGCGAACAGTCTGGATTCAGGAAGGGTTTTTCATGTGAAAGTGCGTTACAAGATACGCTGATTGAGTGGAGATTCACATTTGATGAAAGTAAAATGATAGGAACACTACTCATCGACTTTAAGAGAGCGTTTGAAACTATCGACAAAAGTTTAATGGTTAAAAAACTAGAACAGTACGGAATAGGAGGAATAGCATTACAATGGTTTAGATCATATCTACAGGGCAGAATGCAACAAGTGCTATATGATAATGAATTATCAACAGAAGAAGCAGTAAATTACGGAGTGCCTCAAGGCTCCAAGTTGGGTCCGTTATTATTTATAGTTTATATCAATGACGTAATAAACGAGCTTAAAGAATGTGGTTGTTCATATAAGTTATTTGCAGATGATATGATGCTGTATGTATGTAGTGATAATGTATTGTATATAGAGAATGTTTTAAATACCGGTCTACTGCGATTGGATAAATGGATGAAAATTAACTCGCTAAAAATTAATGTAAAGAAAACTGTTTTTATGCTTGTACATGATCCAAGAAAACTGAATGTTAAAAACAAGTGCGAAATAATGATAGGTAGGGAGAGGATAGTTGAAGTTAGAGAAACGAAGTACCTGGGTGTAATAATTGATGAACATTTATTGTTCAGTGAACATGCGTGGTATATAGCAAAAAAAATAGGGGAAAAAATAGGTTTTCTTAATAGAATAAAAAGATGTTTGAGCTTACAAACTAGAGTAACTATTTATAAATCAGTAATAGCGCCGCACTACGAATACTGTACTTCAGTAATGCTAAACTGTAGTAATGAGAGTTTGACACTCCTGCAACGTACGCAAAACCGAGCAATGCGCTCTATCCTTATGGCAAATATGTACACTCCAATAAAAGAGATGCTTTACATATTAGATTTAATCAGTGTTAATCAAATTGTGAAAATGAATGTGTGTATTCTAGTATTTAAGATGAAATGCGGACTTACTCCACAGTATCTAAGTGAAAGGGTTGTAAATGCGAGTGAAACACATGGGTACAATACAAGACAGAAAGATAACTTGGTGATTCGGAAAACACGAACAGTTACAGCCGAGAAATCAATAGTTCAGCAAGGGTTCCGAATGTTTAATCAGTTACCAATGAATATTAAGAAGGCAGAAAGTTTGGAAAAATTCAAATGTATATTGAGAGAAGCTATGAGAGAGGATAACGTGAATGCGTGTTTTAGCTATTTAGATTTTTAGTATCTTATTTGTTTTTTTTTTATTTTGAATTTTTAGATAATGATAATTCTAGACAATGGGAATTGAATAATATATGATGGAAATTCTGTAAAGTACAAAGAGAAACGAAATGATGTGCAATGGGAAGAATAGGTATAAGAAACATTGTAAGAACACGTGATGCATGGAATGAATAGAAATGGAGTGAAATATAAAATAATAAGCAGAAATAGAATAGTTCATGTAAAAGCGGAGTATCCCGCTAAGTAGGTGAAAGGTAAATAAAAGCAAATCAATCAATCAATCAATCAATCAATCATTCAATCAATCAATCAATCAATCAATCAATCAATCTCTCTCTCTGTCTCTGTCTCTGTCTCTGTCTCTGTCTCTCTGATGCACCGATGCTACGCACTAGCCTGCGCGATGAAGTTACAGACTGTTCTGGAAAATTCAGATATAATATATACATAAATATAATATTCAGATATAATATATATATAAATTCAGATATAATATATATATAAATCAAAAAATACAGAAGTTCTGGAAAATTCCTGGAGGACAAATGGGCTGAGGGCTGACGTCATAAACCTGCACGAACGTGTACCGGTCCGTGGAAGCTTCTGGAAGGCTTTCCGGGGTGGGGGGCAAGGGGCTGTCTCAAAACGTCACGCTAGAGGACCGCTGGCTCTGGGAGCGATCCTTCCCGACTTAACACGGACACGAACCGTCGAAGCTTCCAGAATGTTCTAGAAGGTTCTAGAATGTTCTAGAAGGTTTTCGATCGTGCGTCATTCCTAGAATCGAGGGCAAAATTCCCGGAATATAATGCAACATTCCCGAAATCGAGCGAAAATTCTTGGAATCGAGGGGTCCTGATGACGTCACTTCCAGAAATCGTAGAGCTCACGGCGGTAACTTATCACGGACACCCACCTTCGAAGGCTCTGGAGTGTCGTTATACATCGGTGCAGGAATCTGTATCCAGAACTCCCCAACTTATACTACTCGTCGCATTCCTCAATCAGGTCTGAGATATCTAGGAGTGGATATATCACCTTCTTCTATGGTTAGATTTCTGGGTGTCATCTTTGACCCTAAATTACTCTGGAGTGGTCATATTAAGTACATAAAGGAAAGATGCGATGTTGGCACCAGAGTTCTAAAGGCGAACTCCTCCTCGACGTGGGTATCGCACCCGCTGACCATGCTATCCCTATATAAGGCATATAATAGATGGATTCTGGACTGGGGAACCATATAGGCTCGTGACGCTAGCAGCTCGCTTCTACTGAGCTTGGACAGGTCTCAGTTCGCAGCCTTGAGGTCCTGTCTGGGT